CAATCAATGTAAATTCATTTTGAAATACAGCTATGTATATATTGCTTATTGGAAATATTAAAATTAATTTATTAGCTTGGAATTAAAAATAAAATAAAAACTTCAAGAAATGTTTCTCACTTTTTAAAATGCATTTTAAACTTTAAGTATGACATTATTTTTTCTGGTTGGGTGGTGGGGTGTCTTGAGAGGCACCACCATGGACTTTCTAAAAAAGAAAAAACCCTAAAAGTGAATTTTAAATAATTATTGAACATTCCTTCAGAGGGAGTGGGAGAAGAGAGAATGTCATCTATCTTATCCGGATTATAAATTAAAGCCCCTACAAAAACAAAGAAGACTTGAAACTACTATGTGATATTTGAAAGGAACAGACATTTATTATGTAGACATAAAAAAAACAAAAGAAAAAATACAATTTTTACAAATGACTTGCACAAAAAAATTCCTTTTATGCACCTTAACAAGGCAAGGTAACCTGATCAAAATTTAGAATTATAGATTATTAAAAAGATGTACAAGTCAAACTTTCAAGAATCAAGAAAACATTGAAGTAATACAAATTCTTTTTTAAACAAAGGTTAAAAATACTCTAAGAATGACTTTACCAAAATTCATTTGCATCACTAGGACTTTGAACATTTTTTCTTTTTCTTGAATCCTGTTTGTTTCACTTTTTTCCATTTTCTTCTTCTGTGTGAAACTGCGCAGCTCATCCACAACTGAGTGTCAAAATAGCTTTTTTTTCTGGAACTTTATTTGCATGCCTGCTACTTCTGAAATTTTCACTCTTTCTTGTCAAAATTTTTGTTACCTTCTGTTACTATCTGTCATACCTGACGTACCTATTCTATTATTAATAGACTCTCCCACATATAATAAGTAGTAGTAGTAGTAGCGGTAACCAGTTCGGCTCAGTGGTGTTGAGTGAGTCAGTCAATATCAGGCATTTAAGTACCAACCATCACAACTAGATTACTGCGTCATTAACTCTTATTTCAAGTTCCTAACATTTTGTACGTCAAACCTAATTTAGGACAACTTATTGAAATACAAGCCTCCACTGTGAAAACTACTCTACAACACTATCTACTGACACATCTTCCTATATATCCTAGAAAGAGGCTCCATTCTGATTGGTCAATAAATCCAAGGTGTATATATTTTCAAATTTGAAAAAGTAATCAAATGGTCTGCCTTGACCAAATTATTTTTGGCAGTTGTTTTTCAGCCGATTTTATATTTAGAAAATTTAACAAACAAATGTATCACATCAAATTAATTTTTTATTAACCTTCTGGCTTTCATTTAAATGCACTTTGGTTAAATGTAAGTATAAAGGATGAACTTACACTATTATGATATTTATTTTTGATTATTTTACTAATAAATTTTTTTTTTTTATGATTTTCAAAACATTGGCACATTTTGTTTTCATGAAACTGCTATTGTATATGAAAAATGTAAACAACAAATTTAAATCTATTTAAAATCAGTTTTTGTCTAAGAAATTTTTCAAAGTGTATTAATAATACATTAATAAATTTTTACAATTAATTAACTGTATTTTCTAAAAGAAATGCTTACCTTTTACTCAAAACAGAATGAAAATAATGTCTTAGCTAGATATGGTCACCTGTGAGGACAACACAAAATAAAAAAAAAAAAACTTTAATTCTATACAATAGCTAGAAGTGGGAAGTGAAACATCAGGCGACACTTTTATGGGGGGGGCAGTACTTTTGGGTCGAGTGTATGAGCCTCTGTATTGAAATAAAAGTGATTTTAATGTCAGAACACTACTCACAGTTGAAGGTCCATTTTGATTTTGGGTAACTTAAACTATGGCATATTTATTTCAGTGATTATAATTTTGGATGAACAATAATCATAATCCAGTGATGTATTCAGGGCAGTTTTATCATTGTTTACAATATGAAACCTGTGAATGGACCCAGAGTGTATTCTTTTAATGTCGCAGCACCACTGTGTGTGTGGGAGACACACCTTGGTTGTTGTCATATAAATTCCAGTTATTTTCCTTGATAGAAGTTCATGTTTTTTATTCCTTCTCTATCAGACTGAGAAATTTTCAGTACCCAACTATCAAACATTGATCTCATATCTGCAACTCTTTTTCTCTCATACATATAAAGACAATTTGCAATTTTGACATGTATCACCAATGAACCGGTGTCATTAAAAAAAGATTTCAATAAAATTTACATTAACAATCCAAAACATGTTCTAAATTAAGTGTCTGTTTGATGGTTTTATTTAGACTGTTCTATAAAAATTACATTCTATCTGACTTCACCTTGGTTTTGAATATTAAAATTTACATGAGTGTCTCAGTATTCATTTAGTAAGGAGAGGTAATAAAAAGAATTAATTTTTGTAACACACACACACACACAATTTTATATATATATATATATAAGTGAACATAGAAGTCAACACTTAGAGGCGACAGTCTGTTTCATGCTAGATGCAATCGTCAGGCTTGACAATTGCATCTAGCATGAAACAGACTGTCGCATCTAAGTGTTGACTTCTGTGTTCACTTTTATATTTATACACACTCTATCTCTGATATTGAGCACTTTATCCCATAAATATAGCACATCTTAAGACTATATTTCTTCATATATATGTACTATTTACATTGTTCGGATTATCATCCTCATCTTTGTTGCCATATTTTGGTTATTGTACTCTCTAACCTTCCTCAGGTGGTTGGAATGCCGAACTGAACCCTTTATTTCACTCACTGGGGTAGACTTTTCTAGTTCCATGTTTAATGGATGTCGGTTATCTCCTGTTTTCCCTCTCCAATTTCTCAACTGCCTTAACCAGGTATTGAACTCACACTCTCTTTGGGTCCTGTCACAGGATCTAACTAATGCCTTTATCCACTGTACCATGTGTCCTTGAGATAAACCTAATAAAAACCTAATATCTTCAGCAACCGTTTTTACCAGAGCTCATATTGCAATTTTTGTTGTTGTTATTGCTTTTCTCTGGCACTCCTTATTACTGGTTCCCATATTGTATTCATTTCTATGCTTGGTCGGCTCAGAAGACTTTTGTGGCCTAGCATATGTGTTCATTCCTTAAGTTAAAAATGGTACAAAATGGTTGTTGAAGACATTAGGTTTATAATACCCAGAAATTTATACACAGATGCCCTTAACTGTAATTTTCCCTGACTTTGTAGTAGTATATCCACTTTTCAAGCGTTTAATTCATATATTAAATTTCAATTTTCATATTTGTGTCATTTTTTAACTTCACTTGCTCACATGTTCCTTCAGAGATGTTATTGTATATTTTATAATTTTTATTTTTCATTGTTATTTTTTGTTTGTATGAAAATCTTAGTTTTTATATGTCTGTATTGTATTGTATTGTGTGTATTATTATTTAATTGTTTTGTGTTGTATTTATTATATTAGTATGTAAGTTGCAAAGTAAATATTTATTAAAATGTCTGCATTTACCCATTAATTTATTTCTCTTGTTTGATAATTTGATTATATAAAATTTTTGTTTCAAATACAGTCTACATTTTCTATTAATATCATAAAGGGGTACTTTTTAATGATATCACATTTAATTTTAGTTAATATATTTTTTTGACTCCATAATGTTGTTATTTGTGTATTTATTTTAAATAACATTTTATGATCATTAAATCTTTCTTTAAAATTTCTTTCAGTTGTTACTATATAATTTTTTGTCTTCTGTGTTAATGTTATTTGATGCAGTTGCTTTATATTTTATATTATTAGTTAAATATTTATTAAGTGGGCAGTTGCTTTATATTTTATATTATTAGTTAAATATTTATTAAGTGGGCAGTTGCTTTTATTTTGACAATTACAATTGTTGCTATTTGGCCGTTTTTTGTCATTGTAATTGCTATTATTTTTGTTTAATATTTTTTATTATATTTGTTATTTTCTCTATATTATTCATACAACTATAAGTGATTTTAATTGCATTTCTATTAATGATTTTTGATAGTTTAATGATAGTTTATTTATTATTCAATTTTAAATTATGTACATACAGTGATGAAGCTAATTTTAATTAGAATTTTCTGTATATAGTGTGAGAACTTAGTTACTTTGTACAAATAAATTCTGATGTTTGGTCAGATTTTGGGAAGTGGGTTAGGCTGAAAACTTTACTATATCTAATATTTTATTTTCCCAGATCACAATGTTATCTTCACTTTCTATTAATTCATTGGGGTTTCATTTTTAAAAGTTATTTTATTCCCCCACCCAGACAAATTATACATATGGGGGCTACTTAGGACTTCATAGAGACTCTGAGGTATTATGGTGGCTGTAGTAAGAATAGAAAGTAAGAATGTGTTGTTTTGGCACAAGGAATATTGTAGTTTATTTGGGTCAGTGTTTGTGGCTAGCTAGGTTTAAGATAAAACAGAATGAAGACTGAACATCACCCCCATCCTCCTTCTGGCCCTGTGCCACAATTTTTGTGTTCAGCAAAAGTAAATATTACTTTCTATTGATTGATTTTATTCTTTAAATATCTTACTAAAGGTAAGACAGTTTCTTCAGATCATAAAAGTTCTTCACAAGAATAAATTTCTATTCTCTTGATACAATTAAGAAACACTTCAATAAAATCCTTGCTAACCTTCCGACCTCTTTGAAATCCAAAACATTTCCCTGCATGTGTATAATGAAATGTGTTGCCAATGTAATTTTCTAATCGTCTGATTAATTAATTAATTTTTTACGGCTTATCAACACTTTACTAAAAGCCAGAAAATATATTTTTGAGAGAGTAACGATTTAGTGATACAAATTTTACTATTACCCATAGGTGGAAGGTTAGAGATTGAATGATACTCTTTCCCAAGGGTATTTGTATGTAAATGAACATGACTAGTCTGACTAGAATTGGGACTTCACTGATGAACAATTCCCAAGCCATCATCCATTACACTACCTGCACATCCAAGTTTACAGCACCTGGTATTCTCAAGCAGTCACCCATTAAGGTACTGACCAGGCTTGACATTGCTTAACTTCAATGATCATACAGGAACCTGTGTTTCAATGTGAAGTGTAAGCCTGTCCAATTAAGATAAAGATGTCTATCTTTTCAACCTTTTCTTGCCTGAAGTCAATGTTAATGAAATGTCAACAGAAATAATAAATTCTCATGCAAATCAAAATGGGTTTATACTTTTGATCAGCTTGCTTAAAATTGATATTTCTAAAATTTATTGTAAGATTCATTTTCAAATAAACAACTATTTTCTGGCACTTAAATTTCATTCCTTTTTCGTTTGAGGAGGAAACAGCATAACATATTTAATTTGTTTGACATTTACAGCAATATAAGAGTGAATTTATGATAAATTTGAATTTGCTTTCTCAAAGGCCAAAATCAATCTCAAGAATAAATAAATCTTTCAGCTTTCTGCTTTTAACTTACACTAGCAGCAAACTGCCTTTGTATGGATAGAAAATGAAATCAGTAAAAATAAAAAATGATATAAGGCAAGGTGTTGTCATTTCAACAGATTTATTCAATGTATAGAGTGGGGTGATTCTGAGAGAATTAGAAGCCCTACCAGGATTCATTATTGGTGGTAACAATCTTAACACCATAATAGATGCAGATGGGACAGTGCTGATAGCAAGGGAACATGAACTCTTTTGGAAAGTAGTGAAAGACTGCAAGACAAAAGCATGCATGGTTGTTAGCTAAAAGGACGCCCAACATAGAAATTGGAGATACCACAATCAAACAAGTACAAAAATTTAAATATCTGGAAAGTGTTTTAACAGTGGATGGAAAGTGTGACACTGAAATCTGATGGCATATTGGAATAGCCATAGTTACCTTCCAAAAGCTAAGTAAAAAAAATTAAGATATAGAAAAATTTGATGAGAAACAAAGAAAAGATTGCTAAACTGTTATGTAATGTCAGTCCTCCCATATGTCAGTGAATGCTGGATAATCTCCTCAAACATGAAGAAGAGACTTGAAGCAACAGAAATATGGTTTTACTGAAGGATACTGGGAACACCATGGACCAAAAATGTGAGCAATGATGAAGTTTTAGAGAAAATGGAAACAAAAAGGAAACTTATAGTTAACATCAGGAAGTGATAGTTGAAATTTCTACAGCACAATATGGTGCTCCTGCTATATCTTTTGAGATTTTCAATAAATTCCACACAAGGGTCTGTAATTTTATTTATCCTGATTTAGCATCTCGACATCTTTATATAATTATGTATGGGTTAATGATATATAAATATTTTATATATCAAGAATAAGGGTAATGAAGCATGACATAGAAGAAGTTCATCGGACTAAGTTTATGAGTACATTGATGCAAATACACATTTCTCTTGAATCATCATTAACTTTGATGAAACCTATAATTTCATTGCCTATTATACTATCCCAGAATGTTATACTATCTCCCAAATGTCTTGTAAGTTATATTGTTTTACTATTTCCATGAAGCATCTGACATCTATCCCAGCCATTATGTCCATCCAATGTAGCTCTACATTCATCATTAGAAGTTCAAAACTTGCGGAAGGTCGTTTGGGGACCTTGTGGCACATAGTGCACCAGGTCTCTGTATTTGGCCTTTCAGAAAGTGTAGTTGGTTCTGCATAAAGCCTTCACTACTATAATCAAATCATATGTGCTTGTGTCTGGGCTGTTGGTTCTTAGGAACTGAGCTGCTTGACCCTCATAAGTTGAATACAATGGGACAGTCCACCGTATATATATATATATTGTGGAAAAAAACATATTTTAAATCAATTAATTTATAATATTAATGCTCTGTAAATTTACATTGAACACTTTTTTGTAAAAATAAAAATATCTATGAGAACACTGGATTATATATCTTACTGTTCTTTCTTTTATATTTATATATCCATATATATATATATATATATATATATATATATATATATATATATATATATATATATATAATGGACTAAATCTGAGAATTATTTTAATATATTTTCTGTTTATATGTTACTTTTATAGATATAGATACAATTATTTAAGTAAATGCTTTGTTTATAATAAAAAGTATTATATTTACCAGCCTGAATGCCTGAGAAATTTCATAGAAAATAGGAGTACTCCAACAGGAATTGATCCTGTATCCTACACAGGACCATCATTTAGCCTGACGTCCTATACCATTTATCTACATAGGAAGCGTCTGATTAGCAAAGTCAAACATCAAACAACAAATTTCACACAATCTTTTTTTCAAATGATCATATCTGCTCAAAGTGTATCTTAACATAAATAAATGCCAGCATATATTATCAAATGGAATAAGTCCTACAATTAATTTAGTATACTTTCTGTTTATATGTTTTTTTTTTCTTGGACATTCATGCCAGTAACAGAAAATATATTAAAATCTTTTAAATTTCTGTATTACTTTGTCCCTTTTAGCTGATATTGTTAAGTAAAACTATATTTACTAATCATAAATGGAAATGCTTAGTACAATTCATCAAACACCAATATTTTAAAAAGAAATTTTTATGTGTATAAACATGCCAATTGTAGATAGACATCCATTCACAACATTATCAGAAAATAAGAGCAATAACGATAGTAAATTTAAAGCAAGAGTATCAAAAGTTCCATAGATTAGATTACTGAGTAGTTAAAAATTATTTGAAAAAGCAACTCGTTATATTTCTCAATTATGTTAAAATTTTAAAAATCATCCACTTAAAACAATTTTTCAGAAAAATAGATTTCTCAAGTTCACTGTTATTGTGCTTTACAGTATTCATGAAGGGTTTCCTTCCTAACCTTTTGTTTGAAGTAGTGTGGAATGCCTACACTTTGTTTATGTCCTTATTTTCTCTTCAAGTAACTATGGTATTATTCATTTTAGTTATTCCTGTTGTTAACAATCTACAAGTGATATGGTTTGGTTGAGTTCTTTATTTGTGATTCTGTAGCGACAATCCACAAGGTTTAATGAAGGAGCAAGACCCAAATGCTTCATTCTCTCAAAGCCATTTTTAATCATTGATTTGAAAAAGTGGTTGTATATAGCCGACAGTTTAGATATCTCTGAGCAAGTTTGTTCCCACACAGGACATGCATATGAAACTTTCAATCTGACTAGGCTATTTAGGAACACAAGTTTTTTATTTAATGTTTTTGTTTTGTAGCAGTAGGTGTTTCTATATCCACCTCTCACATCTTCTGCATATGTGTATGTGTTAACATTTCTGGGGAGCCACTGATATCAGGTGAATCCCTGATCTCCATGTCCAGGCTAGATGGTCTTCTTTTAGATCAACCATGCACCTGACTTCTCTGATGATCACTGGATGTAAAACCTGTTCTGTCATCATCTGAACTGAGCCCAGTATGTACTACAGTTGCTTACTTGTAAATAACAAAAAAAAAAAAAAAAAAGCATTATTTGCATCTGAAAATGTTTATGCTGAAAGCATCTCCATTTTAAATATTTTCCAAAAATAAATCTCTTTGTTTCAATAAGATCTTCGAGGTTTATTTAATCAGTTTTAATTTTGAAAACAAACTGCTGTTTGTGTTTTTAGTCGAACACAAATAATGCAGACGAAGCAAATTGTGAATGAACAAGATGCAAAGTAAACAAGATTGAAATGGAGAGAAGCTGAAATAGCAGGAGGTTACATCAAAACATGCTTGAAATAACTTGATTTGCATGGATTCAGTTTCACTCAGCATGGAGCAAATCTTTTTGGAAAATCTTTTAAATATTTTCAAATCTCCACTTGGTTGAATCCACATATATGAAACACTTTAGTACAAAGGGCTTCATGGGAGTACTAAGAAAGAGAGAACATTTCAATCTGAATGTCTTGGATGAAGAGGTTGGGTTTAAAGTTCCAGGTTCAACACAGAGAACAATAACCTAAAAGATTAAAATGTTGGTTTGCGAATTTGGTGATATAGTAATTGTGAGTTCAGTCCCTGGGCAGGGTAATCCTGGGTATGATGATAAACTATATCTGTGTTATGGAGTGGTTTCACAGTGGAGGCTTGTATTTGTACTAAGTCGGTCCTAAAATAGGTTCGACATACAAAACGTTAGGAACTGGATATAATAGGTATAACGCAGAGTAATCTAGTTGTGGTCGCTGATACTTTAGTATCCGACTAACGGTCGTCCGGCATCGACTGACTGAACAACTCACTGAGCGACTCCTACTACTCCTACTTACTATAGGTAGGAGAGTCTATTAACTATAGAATAGGTGTGTTCCACTATAACAATTTGGCAGTAAGGCCTCTGATCAGGAGATTGGAGATTTTGAGGAGTGTGGAACCATCTCTTAATTGCTGTTGTTCCCAGCTCTCCTCTGACCCAGAGTGGTAGCACCTGTTAGGGTCCCATCTATGGGCAAATAGTGAAACTTGCAAAGAAAACAAAATATTATGAAAGTATTTGTAGTGGTCAGTTAGAGACCAGAAAGAAAGACATGAAAAGAAAAAGGTAGGTTGAACAAGTGTATGACAGATATATACAAAATAAGAGTGTTATTAGTCAGCAGATAGAAGTGTCCATCCGAACAGTCAGGTTACACTGTGTCTCGACTGCCTCCTTAAGAAGTCTTGTAGGTTGGTATTTATGAAGGAGGAAGAGTACATTCCCATGTAGGTAGGTCACCATAACAGTATTAAAATACATTTTTTATTATAAAAATACAAGCAATACATTTTTATATATAAAAAAAATGCCAGCAGTACATTTTTTTATAGTAAAATTTATTTTTTCTGTAGTTGAAGCCATAAAATTGTGATCAAAGTAATAAAATTTTGGCATTAAATAACCTGTAGAAATTGATATGCTACTAAACCACATCAACCAACCCTGGGTTGAGCAGTGTGAACTTCAACTAAGTGGAAACTGAGTGAGCAGTATATGAGCAGTACTAAAAGTAAGGACTAAGCAAGTTACCTCTAGACATGGGCAATGGAATGAGAACAGTCTACCCTCATAAATTATATAAAGTGTTTAGTTTGGAATTCCCTGTAGGTTACCTAGAT